GGTTTTGGAAAATCCAGAAGTCGACTTAGAGAAATATGTGCAATTTTGTGCAAATAGCATAAGTAGAGTAGGGTCTGAGGAACATTTTCATATATTTGGATGTTATTTTGAAGTGGGGGAAACGAGGCGAACTCGACTGCAGTGAGGTGGTCTTAGGTCGAACTGATATTATGATGAATCCGTATAGTGTTATGCATTGAAATCTCTATTGAAGTATATACATTTTGTTATCAAAAGATAGGTGAGGGCATGCTGAGTCCGAATATGTGTTTCCAAATGTTTTAACATAGATGTAAGAATAAAAAATCAGTTTCCAGCATTCGTGTCATGTTTTTCGCTATTCATCATATACTTTTCGTGTCCTTATTTCTCCTCGATGGAGACGACATCAAAATAGACATTTATACACCATTCGATAGAGAATTAAAAGGGCTACATTTTACACTATTCATATTTGAAAAATGAGCAGATCGAATTTTTCGCCTAATTTCCGCTTGGATGCCCACTGTGCGTAGGTGGATGTCGATTCAGGGAACCTCCGATTCGGTAGTACAGCTTAATGAAGACGAGGTTTTATATTTCGCACGATTTCCAGAAACGTTTTAGTCAACTAGTCGTCTCCCTCGGTAGTATCCTCTTTTACTCTAACTATCTCGGTGGCTTCTAGTTTTTTGTTATACAAGCCTTGCTCGAAGTTCCTATTGATTTTCTTTTTTTCTTTTTTATCGTGCTGCAAGCTTAACCCCATGTGTCAGCTTTACACAAACAAGTAAATGTTTCTGCTTTTATATCCGTTGTACACGTACTATTATTTAAGCAAACATTATCACCAGCGCTAGGACAGAGATCAATTTCTGCATAACAAGTACGACCAAAATAACCAAGTGGACAGATACAAAGTGAATGAAATATAAATAAATTTCTTGAGCAACTGACATTTAATTTTTTATCACACAATTCACCAGTCCAACCTTCATCACAAAAACAAAATTGATTTTTATTATTTTCATAAAACAAACAGCGACCATGTAATGAACATTTATTAACACACGTATTAGAAGATTTTTCATCTTTGATTATTATTTTTGTAGCTAAACGACGAACA